CAGTGAAAATCTCTCTCAAAAAAAAAAAAAAAAAAAAAAAACTGTGGGTATGTTACCCTTTGCAGATTTGATGAATGATCCTAGAGTGGGGTTTATCCAGTTCAGCCCAATGTAATCATAAGGGTCTTTCTAACAGGAAAGCAGGCGGGTCAAAGTCATAGAGATCAGCAGATGCTACATGACCAGCTTTGATGAAGAAGCCATAAGCCAAACAATGAATGCAACCTCTAAAAGCTGGAAAAGGTAAGGAATTAATTCTCACTAGAGCCTCCAGAAGAAACACCACCCAGCCAACACCTTGATAATAGCTCACTGAGTACCATTTCACTCTTTGTATCTCTAGGGCTGCAATATGTGCATTGTTTTTGTTTCTTGGTATTTCTGTTTTGTTTTTAGTTTGCTATCAGGCATGTGCATTTGCAGGAGACAGAGAGAAAGGGAACATAAGAAAACACCTCTCTTGGGGGATAGCCATGTCACAGTTTCTTCTCCATTCTCCTCTTGGGATTTTGGACATGCATGCACCCCACATGTTTTTCAAGCCACCAGTTGAAGGACTTGAACTGTGCGATCAGCCATGTGGGATCCAGTCACCTTAACCTCTGTGCCACCTGCTGGCCTAATGTGTATTGTTTAGAGCCACTAAGTGTATGGCAATTCTTAGAGCAGCAGTTAAGAAATTAAGAGAACATGGGAACCAGCAGTTAGCGTAATGGCTATGTCGCTGGACTCCCATGTAGTCGACCGCGGTTCACGTCCCGGACCCATTGGCTTAAAATTCACGCCGGGCGCATGTGCATGCGTGCCCAAGATCCCGAGAGGAGAATGGAGGAGAAGGGATTGAGGTGTGACCATCCCCCCTGGGGGGTGATTTCTCGCTTTCTGTCTCTATGTCTCTCTGTCTGGCGAGCACACGCGCCCTATAGCGAAAGAAAACCTCTCCAAAAAAAAAAAAAAGAAACAGAACAGTTACATGACAAAGAACTCATATCTAGACTATTTTTTAAAAATTTTATACCTCAATTATATGATAAACTAACAATGGGGACCAGCAGTTGGCATAATTGCTATGTCGCTGGACTCCCATGTAGTCGACTGCAGTTTGAGTCCTGGACCCAGTGGCTTAAACTCATGCCAGGCACGTGTGCATGTGTGCGTGCCCAAGATCCCGAGAGGAGAATGGAGGAGAAGGGATTGAGGTGTGACCATCCCCCCTGGGGGGTGATTTCTCGCTTTCTGTCTCTCTCTTTCTGGCAAGCACATGCGCCCTATAGCAAAAGCCTCCAAAAAAAAAAAAAAAAGAAGGGATAAACCAACAATAAAAAAGGGAAAATTTCACAATAGAATTACCAATAAAGAAATGAAAACAAATGCTCAAACAGTGGCCATCAGGAAAATATTATAATTAAATCTATAAAGAAAAAACACTATGTACCTAGGCAGAATGACTAAGATTATAAATACTGACAAACATGAGGCATTAGTAAAAACATGAAGCAACTGGATTTTTTTTTCATTTTTATTTATTCATTCATTTTAATTTGGCCAAAAAGAGGCACACAGAGAGAGAGGGAAAGTGAGAAAGCAAGTCATCAGGTCAGGACTTGACCATGGTAAGCCGTGGGAGTGTCCAGCACCTTAACCATGCCACCCACTGGTCCCACAACTGGAATTCTTAAATGCTTCTGGTAGAAACATAAAAAGAAACATCTAAAGAAAAGATAATTATGGGGAGAAAAATATATTCCCCCAAATTTGTACATGAATATTCCTATCAGTTTTCTTCATAATAGCAAGAAACAGGAAACAACCCAAAATGGCCACCAGTCAGTCAATGGAAAAACAAATGTGGTTTAGCCATAAAATGGAATATTATAAGTAATAAAAAGGAACTAACTACTAATACATGCAGCTAAGCAAAAAAAAAAAAAAGACATAAAATATCTGTGATCCCATTTTGACAAAATCCTGCAACAGGCAAACCTAACCAATAATGACCAAAAGCAAATCAGTAGTTGCCAGGGACCCAGGGAGTGGCCTGGTGGAAAGGGCACAGGCAGTTCATGAAGTGATGGAAACATTCCGGATCCTCATTGTGGTGGTGGTCACATGGGCTATGCACTTTTCAAAACTCAAACTATATCTAACTGAAGTAGGAGGATTTTACTGCACGTAAATCATAGCTCTATACTATACCTCAATAAGGTTAATTTTAAAAGAAAAAACTCTACCGCACAGGAAGCAACCTCTAGGTTTCTGAGCCTCAGTTCCTCCCTTCCCATTTATAATAAGGATTTATTCATGCTACAGAACAGAAGGAAGGAGTCTATAGGCAGCTCAGTGACACATCTTAGAGCAGAAACAGCACAAGCTTACCTGAGGTGCTACATAGTAAGGGGTGAACTGGGGTGTCATCAAGTCACCTTGGTCAATTTTGGCAAATCCAAAGTCACACAACTTAACTGGAGCATCCTGGAATAAATCAAATGGGATTCACTACTCTGGAATTCTCAGTAAGCATGAAAAGAAAATCCAGGTGGAAGACATGGTACCCTGAGCTGAGTACAAGTTTCCAGCTGAGACCTAAGCCTATGATTAACATGTCCCCAAACCTGGAGTCAATGATTTACAGTGAGGAACTGTCCTCATTATTATAGAATCAAGAACTTTTACCCAGTCACACAGTCATATTTTATAACTTGTACCAAAACAAGTACTAAAACAAGGTCTTGCTACTGTCCCTCCGCTCTGTGGGCCCATCACCTCTCATCAATCCAGGGTGCTGCTTCACATTTCACATCAGTCATGATGGGCCAGCCCACAGCCTAATGATGGAGAAAGCAGAATCCCACATGGCCAAGTATGGTTAGGATCTCAGCCTAGGTAGCTTAGGAAATGCACTGGGTACATGTGCAAGTGTGCCCGAAATCCTAACAGCGTGAGAAGCAGAGGAGGGATTGTAACATGATTATGCCCTGTTTGGGGGTTGCTTTTGCCCTCTCCCTATCTGTTTCCGTCTCTCTCTCTGGCAAGCACAAATGCCCTTTGGCAATAATAAAATAAGTCAACCTTAAGCTTCATGACAGTCAGGGCCACTTGTGTGGTGGGACATGATGCAGGGGTCAGGAGTCAGGGCTGGTGGAAAACACACTACGTTGAGAGTTAAGAGCAAATGAAACTTCAGTCTAAGAGTAAGATACAACAGAATGCAGGTGCCTGACCCTGCCCAGCAGCCCCCAAATACCGAAAATTTTTAGTACCACAAAAACATCAGTATCATCCAGAATTATCAATGTCAGGAGTACACGTTAATTTCTCTGAGCCTCTAGAAAGGGAACAAATGGAAGAAATAAGCTGTTGGAAGCACTGTAGCCTACTGTCTCCTCACTATGGGTTCAGAGCACTACAAACATACAGACCACTCTTGAACATACCCTGTGTCAAGAGGGGCAGCACTAAGATGCAGCAAAGCATTCCTCTGGGCTGGCCTATAGCAGAGTGGTTACGTGCTGTGACAGGGAACCAGACCTCATGTGGCCAACTACAGTCTGAGTATCACCTGGTGGTTTGAAAACACAATGGCCTATGTACATGTGTGCCTAAAATCCTAAAGGGAAGAAGGAATGGAGGAAAAAGAATGCAGTGTGGCCATGACCCATGGGGAGTAGATGCTTTTGCTCTTGCTGGCAAGCACCTATGCTTTTTTTATTATCTAATAAATAAATAAATAATAAAAATAAGAACCAGTCTCCTCACCAAAGAGTTATCCTTGAAAAGCAGATTTTCAGGCTTGAGGTCTCTGTGTGCAATGTTTAACAAGTGACAGTGCTGTAGAGCCAAAGCTATCTGAAAAAGAACACAGCAGACCAACTGCCTGTTAGAAAAGAGCAATCTTCAATACCCCTGGTGCAGAAAACTCAGGATGTTAAAAAACAAACCTTCATTAAGTCAATTAAGATAGTAGTTGGTTTCGATATTAAAGCAGAAATTAAGTAAGATTTGAGGTACCAAGGAAGGGAAAGGAATTAAGCTTAGTTTAACTGCAACCTGTATATTGTTAAACAAAAAGAAAAATACCACAGTAAAACAAATTCCGTCAGGACAAACTGATGGTGAAATTCCATACAATTTCCCATGGGAAATTCGAAATGCTCCTACTTTCATTCATTTGAGATGTGGCAGACACTGCAGAGCAAATGCTGAGCTGTGCAGCCTTCTGTGGGGTGGCTTCCCCAGCAGGGTGGCAGCAGGACTCCTGACTCAGAAGAGACCTGCTGACCTTCATGGGATCTCCCTTTCAGGGAGCTGACCAGCAAGCTCTGCCTTCACAAAGTCAGTGACTGAAATTTTCTAGTTGAAGTTACAATCTGTTCATCCCACTTGGTAAAAACGTTGCCTGTCTGTGTAAATTTAAAGGATTTTTGCAAAATTACCAGGGCTCATCTTTTTGTTATAATATTTGAAAAAGAAAAGGTGTAATAAAAAAAGTTAAATAGAACAGACTCTACTATTCTTCAACTCTTAAGTATGAAATTTTCTCCACAATCCTAATAGCAATTCTTCCCTGCCAGGAAGGGGGCATCCAAAGATGCATGAGGCTCATGGAAAATTTGAAAGAGCTTTTTATTACTAATGAATTGGGAGGAGCCAGCAGGTGGCATAATGGTTAGGGGTGCTGGATTCCCACATGGCCGACCACAGGTCGAGTCCTGGACCTGGCAGCTTCATTTCTTGCTTTCCCTTTCTCTCTCTCTCCCCCTCCCTCCCTCCCTCCTCCCCTCCTCTCTCTCTCTCTCTCTTTCTCTCTCTCTCATCAAACTATAAACAAATAGGGGCTGGCTAGTGGCATGGTGATTTAGGGTGCTGGACTCCCAGATGGCCAACAGTGGTTTGAGTCCTGGACCTGCAGCTTGTTTTCTCATTTTCTCTCTCTTGCTCTCATTCTGTCCCTCTCTGGTCAAATTAAAATAAATAAATTTAAAAATAAATAAATAAATAACAATAAAAAATGGAATAAAATAATTAGGACCAGCAGTTGGCGTAATGGCTACGTGCTGGACTACCATGTAGTCGACCACGGTTCGAGTCCCAGACCCGGTGGCTTAAACTCATGCTGGGCTTGTATGTACGTGCCCAGGATCCAAAGAGAAGGGACTGTGGTATGGACATCCCTCCTGGGAGGTGAGTTCTTACTTTCTGTCTGTCTTTCTGGTGAGCGCAGCACCTACCCTATAGTTAAAAAGAACTCTCTCTCAAAAAATAAATAAATAAATAAAAAAGAATTAAATAAATAAATAGTAATTTAAAAAATAAAAGAATGAACTGGGCTTATGTTTTCTACTTTGCTGATGGACTTGCCTGGCATTTAGCTTTTCTCCTCCACAAAGGTTATTAACCATTCAATTCCTAGTATTATCTGTGACATAAACCCTTTCTACAGCAGGGCCAGCAGATGGCATGGTAGTTAAAGGGACTGGACTCCCACATGGCCTACCATGGTTCAAGTCTCAAACCTGGTGGCTTCCTTTTTCACTTTCCCTCTTTCTCTGTCTCTGGTCAGATTGGAAAATAATAATAAATAAAGTTAAAATAAATAATCCTAAAAAACATCCTTTCTACAACAATAAAATATGATGTCAAAATAGAGAAACTAAAAACAAACAAACAAACAAACAAAAAAAAAAAATAGAGAAACTATACTCTAGGGAAAAATCCAGAATTACAAAGATCTTAGAATACTATTAAAACCTGAAGAAACACAAGGTGACTTGTAAGCAAGCTGCATCTTATGTACGACTGTCTCAGGACGTATCTGTATACCATACGAGCTTTCAGGTGGGTCAGCAGCACTGTATCTCAGAATGCAATAACAGCGTTTAGAAGCTACGTGTCTGCAGGTACCTACAGTCTACAAAGGAGTTAAGATGACCTTTTTCCCAGAATTTATTTAAATCTCACAATGGACCTCAGAAAACAGCTGACAACCAATAAAGAATACAGTGTGTCCCCCCACACACACCCTCCATAAAGAGTCACACTTCTCCTATCAAAACATCTTTTCTGATCATATAACAAAGCAGGCAATGAGAAGTCAAATAAAGCTTTTCTTTAAGTTTTCTTTACTCCCCTCCCCAATAAAATTGCACTTGTTAACCAACACTGTTGGCGGTGTGACTGGTACCTGGGGTTGACTTGCCTGCTTTGTTACTTGGCTGGCTTGCTTCTCTGTAAAGTGCCGGTGCTGGCTGATTCTGTGAAATAGCTCTCCCCCTTCCATCATCTCCATTACAATTAAGAGTCGAGCCCTGTTTGAAAGCATTTGATTTTGTTAAGTTTAAAAAAAAAAAAAAAACAACCAAAAAACCCCTGAAACATCAAGAAGCTGACCTAAAGATATCTCATCCTCAAAGTGTGTAACCACTTTCTAAATCCAAGGTAACACGGCTACTAAATAAAGAATAAAAATTCTCATGTTCTCAAAAAAAAAATATCTTGTGAATTTTGTTTACCATTTTTTTTATATAAATGTTTCCAGCTTCCATCCAAATGCTTTCACCAACAGAGCAGAGTTGTGAAAAATAATCATTTGGTTTCTTTAGTTCTGAAATCCCATCTTTTTTTCCACTTAGCGAATTCCTATGCTCCCTCAAGTCCTAGCTTCCACAGAGCCTCTGTGAGATACTTCACTTCTCAAAAACAATTAGCATCTCCCCTCCTTTGTAAACTCAGAATAGCCAAGGCTGCCTGTCCTTAGTGCCCGTCACATGGCTATGGCAGGTTTACGTCTCAGTCTGCCTAAAAGAAACCATATCTTATTTAATTTTGGATTCCACAGATGGGACTTGGAATGCCACCCAATGTGTTTGCACTTGGGAGCTAAAAGAATAATGTTGATTTCCTCTTTCAAAAGGAAATCAGACTAAGAAGTAAGAGCTTGTTGGATATCATCCTCTAAAACTGCCTAGAATAACATTGGGGTCCCTTTTACTGATTTGAAATAGAATCTGTTTATATTCCACATTAAATGTTTTAAAAAGAGAACATAATCAAAATAAACAAGGGGACCAGGCTCGTGGATGGGGTGTAGATAAAACAAGGTCAGCTAGGAGATGGTTAACTATTGAGGTTAGGTAATGAGTACTTAAAGATTCTTAATGTAATTCTGACTGTCTTATAAATGTTTAAAATTTTCTAAAATACAGAAAGAGGGAGAAGGTAAAAAGAGAGAGTATAAGAAAAAGGGGAGAGAAAGCATAAAGAGTGGAAGACTACACTATGCCTTGGCCTATATAGGAATATGCGATGATGACATCATGAAGTCTTACCTGGGGCTGGATTCATGAGGAAACTGTACACTGTTAGCAAACACTTCAATAATCTGAACTATATTTGGGTGTGTGGCACACATCATGTGTAGACGTACCTTAAAGAGAACAGAGTAAGAAATGTTTCTGCACATAGGGATACCAATATTTGCTTTGCAAACCTCCCCCAAAAAGCTGACCACATTATGTATAAGGGAATATAAGCCTATTACAGTAAAAACCTTATCTCCTAGAATGATGTATTGGGTTGTCAGAAAAGTCATGATGCATTTTTGCATAGAAAAACAGAAAAAATATGTGAGACAACCCAATAAAAAAACAGTGTTTTGGGGCCAGCTCAGTGACCTAGTGGCGAAGGGAACCAAAATAGCTAACTATGGTTTGAATCCTTGCCTCAGTGACTCGAAAAACACACCAGAAGTGTGTGTGTTCATGCCCAAAATCCCAACAGGGTGTAGAAATGGACAAGAAAGGATTGCAGCATGACCACACCCCATTGGGGGTGGCTCCACCCATTTTTATGAGAACACATGCACTTTGGCAGTTTAAAAAAAAAGTGTTTTTCATACACACATTATTTCCTTAATGCTCTATGAATTAAAAATTCTGCTAACAGATTTACCTACTATTGTCCTATTAGAAAGTACAAAAATCAGAAAATGAGTCATTTTATTTCAAAAATTACTCATTTAAAATACTCATTTAATTTTAAAATATACATATAAATTTAAAAATATATATGCGTGGAGACTAGCAATTGGCATAACGGCTATGTTGCTAGACTCCCATGTAATTGACCATGGTTCAAGTCACAGATCCGGTGGCTTAAACTCACACCACATGTGCATGTGTGCCCAACATCCCGAGAGGAGAATGGAAGAGAAGGGATTGCGGCGTGGCCATCCCCTCTGAGGGGTGATTTCTCGCTTTCTGTCTCCCTGGCGAGCACATGTGCCCTATAACAAAAAACCTCTGTGTGTGTATATATACATTTCTTTTTTCAATTTTTACTATAGGGCATGTGTGCTCACCAGAGACAGAGAGGGAAAGTGAGAAATTACCCCCTAGGAAGGATAGCCACGCCACAGTCCTTTCTTCTCTAGAGATGTTGGGTGCATGCACCCATGTGCCCAGCATGATTTTCAAGCAACTGGGCCCCAGACTTGAACATGCAGTCAGCCAAGTGGGATCCAGTGCCTTAACCACCATGCCACCTGTTGGCCCACCAATATATACATATATATTTTTTAATTTAAAACTTGTTCTCAGAGACCTCCTATAGCATCACTTTCTACACACCATTCACCTGATCCTTGCCAATACTATTTTATCCCCATCCTTCGAGCACCTTTTTCAATAGAAAAAGACTAAAGTAAACCTGATTATGTCAGGGTACGTAATCATAGTAATTAAAAAAGAACAAGAGGTAGCTGAAGGAACACAAGACTTTAATAACTGTCCTTGGTACTGACGGATCTTAAAATACTTTATAACAATAACATGAACTGGCAAGAGTGCTACAAATAGACAAAAAACGCTTTATGCATCTCTGTAGTCTCTCTAGGAAACTGCCTTCTCAAATGAACTATTCTTAGGCACTTCAAATATTTAGGCAAATCAGGGCAACTAAAGTCCATACTTCATTTCTAGCTTTTGGACGATCGAGAAGGATTTTCAGTGCAAACCGTTCTTGAGTAGATTTCTTCACACAGACTCTAGGTTAGGAGGAAAAAAAAAAATCAGATTATTTATGTTACAGTCAAAATCAATCTAACAAATCTGTTCTCTGAGAATTATACTTCTAATAAAGGATATATTCAGGTGCATTAAAACAAACCTGTCCCCAGGGCTAGCAGGTGACACTGCAGAGAAGCATCTTAGCCCCCTTCCCAGCCGCCAATGCTTGGGGCCTCAGCTCTATCCACACATTGTCAACTCACAGCCACAGTCCAGTGTGGAAATAATGGCCTCTACTGGCTAGAGGTGACTCTCAGTGGTCCCAGTCTCAACATCACAAATAATTCCATATTTCACTGAACTCTATTTCTTTTCTTTTCTTTTTTTTTTTTTGGAGAAGTTTTTTTGTTTTGGTTTGGTTTTTTATTGCTACAGGGCACATGCGCTTGTCAGAAAGACAGAGACAGACAGACAGCGAGAAATCACCCCCCAGGAAGGATGGCCACACCGCAATCCCTTCTCCTCCATTCTCCTCTTGGGATCTTGGGCATGCATGCACATGTGCCCGGCGTGAGTTTAAGCCACCGGGTCCAGAACTCGAACCACAGTCAGCTATATGGGAGTTACGCAACACAGCCAGTATGCTAATTGCTAGTCCCCACTTAACTCTATTTCTAAATGTAGAGAAAAAGCCTAACATGAAACCCTCTACTGTTAAAGATACAACTCAAATCTAGCATATCTGATACTTCTAATTCAAGTCAAGTTTTAAATGGCCCATCTCAGAACAATTTTGCCATAATTGTCACACAGGTCTCTTACCTAACTGGACCACTAATTCCAGCTCCCAGTTTCTGAGTCCAGTTGATACTGTATTCTTCTAAAATCGAGGTTTCCTATTAAAATAAAAGCAGAGAACGGCAGAAAATGATTTCTCAATTATAAAGCTGAATCACTGGGACCAGCAGATGGTGTAATGATTACATTGCTGGACTCCTACATAGTCGATGGCGATTCAAGTCCCAGAGCTGGCAGCTTAAAACCCACACCAGGCTCGTGTATATATGTGACCCCAAATCCCAAGAGGACAGTGGAGGTGAAGGGACTGCAACATAGCCATCCCCCATGGGGGTGATTTCTCACTTTTTGTCTCTCTGGCGAGCACATGTGCCCTACAGCAAAAATCTCTCTTAAAAAAAAAAAAAAGGAGTCTTTTGGCTGTGATCGCCATCTTCCAGTAATTTACCAAAATGACAAACACATGGCAAAGAAGGAAGCACCCAATACATGTTCTCTAGGCCTTTTACAAAACATGGAGTGGTTCCTTTGGCAACATACATGCAAATCTATAAGAAAGGTGGTATTGTTGACATCAAGGGAACAGTACTGTTCAAAAAGGAATGCCTCACAAATGTTACCCTGGCAAAACTGGAAGGGTCTACAATGTTACCAGCATGCTGCTGGCATTGTTATAAACAAGTTATGGGAGAGATTCTTGCCAAGAGAATTAATGTGCATATTGAGCATATTAAGCATTCTAAAAGCAGAGATAGCTTCCTAGAATGTGTGAAGCAAAATGACCAGAAAATGAAGGAAGCCAAAGAGAAAGGTACCTGGGTTCAACTGAAGCGCCAGCCTGCTCCACCCAGAGCAGCACACTTTGTAAGAACCAATGGGAAGGAGCCGGAGCCTCTGGAACCCATTCCCTATGAATTCATAGCATGATGGGTGTTAAAAATAAATTATGATCTATTTAAAAAAAAAAGCTAAGGGACCAGCAGGTGGCGTGGTGGTTAAGGCGCTGGACACTCCCACGTGGCTGACCCCAGTTCAAGTCCTGGACCTGGTGGCTTGCTTTCCCACTTTCTCTCTCTCTCTCTCTGTATCTCTCTGGTCAAATTAAAATAAATGAATGAATAAATAAAAATTAAAAAAAAAAGATTAGTTAAAAAAAAAAGCTAAGTCATTGAGCAGAGGTGGAACAACCAATTCATCACTCAACGTCTCGTCTTCTAGGAATCTGATAAGGAGAGCTTTATGTTCTACAGGACTATAGGACTTCATAATTAGACATTTTGTCTGAATGACTTGGTTAGGCTTTGTTTTCCAATAAGAAAGCAAAAACTTCAGAATAAAAAGAAATTATTATCCAGTCCATCTACAAGGTCCACTTGAGTAGAAAATTAATGCTTTTTTGAGAGTGTGGAGGGAAGATATTATTATCACTACTTTTTTTTTTTTTCTGCAGGGTACATACACTTGCCAGAGAGACAGAAAGCAAGAAATCAACCCCCAGGGGGGATAGCCACACTGCAATCCCTTCTCCTCCATTGTCCTCTTGGAATCTTGGGCACACGCACACACATGTGCCCGGCTTGAGTTGACTACATGGGAGTTCAACGACCTAGCCATTACGCTAACTGCTGGTCCCTTAATATTATTACTTTAAATCTGCTAGAAGGTGCATGCATTTGTCGGAGAACCGGGTGGGGGGTGGGGGGAAGCAGGGGGCAGGGGACACCACCCATGGAGTGTGGTCACACCACAACCCATTCCCCTCTATTTCTCCCTCTTTTCAGGAATTCGAGCACACACGCACATACACCTGGCATGTTTTTCAAGCTACCAGGTCCAAGACTCCAATCATGCAGTCAGTCATGTAGGATCCAGCTCCCTTAACCACCAGGCCACAGGCCAGGCCCAGGAAGATATTCTTCCAAAATGCTTCAGCAACAAAACGTCTCTTTGCTACATGGTCAAGGATATTTTCTGATATTCCAGAAATACTGGTCACATATATGGCTGCTATGCTTGAACAAGCTGATCAAATTGCTGGCGTAACTGAATAAATTAAGACTTAAAAGTTCAAATCAAATAGCAAATATAGTAAACTTACCTAATTTTCAACAGCACCATTTTGAATACAAAGATATTCTGTCACACTCATGGTGTAACTGTATCTTTCTAAAAACAACTTACAATAGTTCAGGATACAGCTTCTACAGTTTAATGAAAGTTTTTATGGGATTCCTGGCAAGTCACTACATGCTGAGCTTCTGTTGCCATATATTTTTAGATAAGAAAGTCATCTATTTAAATCATGATAGTCTAAAATTCATTTTTTTGCAGGGTTCCACTGACAAAATAGGAAACCAACTGCAGACCTTAAAAATTCAGGCCAAAACCTGTAAGTCTTCCAAATTGTTTTGTAGCAATGGAAATCTGGTAAACCATATTTAGCACTAGAATTCAGATCCCTGGTATACATAAATGGGATATCTGCTCATGTAATATACACTTACTGAGCAGTTAGTATGTGCCAGACACCAGGCTAAATTCAGAGATGAAAACGGAGCTCCTGCCCAGTGAATATACAAGTATATAAAGCTGGCTTTGGCGAGCCTTCATCTCCCCGTTTCTGCTGCCCATTTCTTAAGAAAGGTTCTCAGCATATGGTAAATGTTCAGTTAACTGGGGACCAGCAGTTAGCGTAATGGCTATGTCGCTGAACTCCCATGTAGTCAAGTGCGGTTCGCGTCCCGGACCTGGTGGCTTAAAACACACGCTGGGCACATGTGTGTGTGTGCCCAAGATCCCGAGAGGAGAACAGAGAAGGGATTGCGGCGTGGCCATCCCCTCTGGGGGGTGATTTCTCGCTTTCTGTCTCTCTGTCTCTGTCTCTGGCGAGTGCACGTGCCCTATGGCAAAAACCTCTCAAAAAAAAAAAAAGTTCAGTAACTGTGGGATTAATGACTAGAAAGGCAGATGAAAGTCAGATGATGAAGGGATGTTAGGGAGAACTATTAAGATCAATACACACACTGCCTTCTGAAAAACTGCACATCAGGGTTAAGGTGCCTGTCCCAGACACAAAGCACTTGACAGGCACTAGCAAGACTAGAACTTATGGCTCTGGTCTCCCCATCCAGAACCATTCCAGTAATCAAGGGTTAACTGCACAGGTCCTGTGGTTGTCCTGTGAACTGTAGGATGGTCAGCAGCATTTCTTGACTGTACTCACTAAATGCCAGCTGTATCCTAAGTCAATTTTGACAACCAAAACATTCCCTAGACACTGCCAAATGTCTCCCAAGAGAGAAAATCACCCCCACCCTCTGCCACTGAGAACCACTGACTTAAAGGAATACTTGGACCAGCAGATGGAGTAATGACTATGTCGCTAGATTCCCATGTAGTCAACCGTGGTTCGGGTTCCGGACCTGGTGGTTAAACTCACGTGCCTGTACATGTGTGCCCAGGATTCCAAGAGGAGAATGGAGAAGAAAGGATTGCGGCGTGGCCATCTCCCTGCGGGGTGATGTCTCACTTTCTGTCTCTGTCTTTCTGGTGAATGCACGTGCCCTACAGCAAAAACCCCCCCCCCCCCCAAAAAAAGGGAATATCAATCCTCCACAAACTCTTCCAGAAAACACAGGCTAATATGAATCTAAAGTTAGATTCATGCCAAAACTAGAAACAGGCATCATAAGAAAATTATAGACTGGGCCAGGCCCATAACCTAGAGGCTAATGAAGCTTGTTCTCACATAGCCAACAAACACAGAAAGACACAGAGAAACCATCCCCTGGTAGGGGTGGTCACATCACAATCCCTTCTCCATCTCTCCCTACTGGACTTTGAGGTACACATGCACATGTGCACACCATGTTTCCCAAGGGGCCAGGATTCAAGCAGTACTTAGCCATGTGGGATCCAGATTCCCTTAAAAAAAATAATATAACTGGGAACCAGCAGTTAGCGTAATGGCTATGTCGCTGGACTCCCACGTAGTCAACCGCGGTTCATGTCCCGGACCCGGTGGCTTAAAACTCACGCCAGGCGCGTATGCGTGCGTGCCCAAGATCCCGAGAGGAGAATGGAGGAGAAGGGATTGCGGCGTGACCATCCCCCCTGGGGGGTGATTTCTCGCTTTCTGTCTCTATGTCTCTCTCTGTCTGGCGAGCACACACGCCCTATAGCAAAAACCTCTCCAAAAAAAAAATATATATATATAACTAAGGAAATACATTTTCATTGAGCTCATCAAATATTAACATTTTGTGGGACCAGCAGTTAGCGTAATGGCTATGTCACTGGACTCCCATGTAGTCAATTGCAGTTCAAGTCCTGGACCCGATGGCTTAAACTCACGCCAGGCACGTGTGCATGTGTTCCCAAGATCCCAAGAGGAGAATGGAGGAGAAGGGATCGTGGCGTGGCCATCCCCCCTGGGGGGTGATTTCTCGCTTTCTGTCTCTCCGTCTCTGTCTCTCTGGTGAGTGCACATGCCCTGTAGCAAAAACCTGTCCAAAAAAAAAAATTGTTACATATAAGAAGACAATATGTGGAAATCTCTAATCCCAAAATGTTTATTCTCCAAGTTTAGACAAGTGCAATGGGAACAGAAACATCACACGGCTCTGGAAGTAGAGAAGTAGAGAAGGATGGGGAAAGACAAAGCCTTCAGTTACAGACACCTGATCTTATTTGATTTTTTTTTTTTTGGAGAGGGATTTTTGTTATAAAGCACCTGCACTTGCTGGAGAGACAGAAAGATAGAAAGTGAGAAATCACCCCCCGGGGGAGGATGGCCATGCTGCAATCCCCTCTCCATTCTCCTCTCGGGATTTTGGGCACGCACATGCGCCCAATATGACTTTCAAGCCTCCAGGTCTGGGACTTGAGCCATGGTTGGCCATGTGGGAGTCCTGTGACGTAACCATTAGGCCATCTGCTCGTCCCCTTATTCTGATATTTTTAAGAGTAATAGGATGAGACCTTAAAGTTCAGTCCACTCTCAGGCAATCAGACAGAAGAAGTTCAAGGGCTGTCTGTGGTTTGAGGCCAGAAAAAGAGCTGTCCCCTTGAATGTTATAGGTGTCACTGCTTGCTACTTGATACATACATTTCAAAAAGCAAAACAATTAACACAGCATGAGAGTCTGCTATTTGATATAATGCTGGTTTTCTCCTAAAGGAGTCAACGTCACCAATCTGTGGACATGCCATGTTAATAAGATTCATCGATTATCTATCAGGTACGCTTAGTGAAGAAAAGCTACAAAAATGTAAGAAAATTAGGTTGGACAGTAGTCAGTAAGTGAAGAAGACTGTGACTCTTTCTAAAGCACCCTTAAAATGCTGTGAGCTGGGCCAGCAGTGGCATGGTGGTTAAGGTACTGAATCTCACATAGCCAACTCTGCAGTTCAAGTCCTGGACCCTACAACCTGAAAGACATGAACAGACATTTGTCCGTGTGTGCTCCTAATCCCAAGGGGCTGTGGTATGGCCATCCTCCCAGGGGATGATATGTCACTTTCCCTCTTCCTCTGTTTTGCTCCAGTAAGCACATGCACCCTATGGCAAAAAAAAAAAAAAAAAAAAAAAAAAAAAAAAAAAAAAAAAAAAGGCTAAAAAAAAAAAAAAAACCTAAAAAAAACAAGGTGCTATGAGCTAACAGTCATTGAACTATTACTAAATGTTAGGTATTACTATGAGCATATCTAGATAGATTTGTGATTTTTTAATTTTTTTCAATTTGCCAGAGGGCATTTGTACTCACTAGAGATAGAGACAGAAGGAGAAAGTACCTCCCAACTGGGTACATGGTCATGCCCCAACCCTTTCTTCTCCCTCTCTCTATCCTGTCAGGATTCTGGGCATACAGGCACTCGTGCCCAGGCTACTTTTGAAGCTGCCAGGTCAGGATTTGAACTACACAGTCAGCCATGAGAGATCTAGCTCCCTTAACCACCAGGCCACAGGGCTGGCCGTGTGCATTAAATTCTCAAACAACCCTATGAACTGAGGAATGCTTCCATCACCTTTCTTTGTATTAGAAAACTAAGGGACAGAGAAGTGAAGTGACTTACTCAAGGGCACACAGCTAACAAATGGCAAGACTGGGATCTCAACCCACGAGTCTACCTACAGAAACTTTAACAACCACTAAGTAACATTGCCTCCCTATTTGTTTACTTGTTCACTCAGACTATGCCCCCCTTTTTCTCAAAACTCTCCTCTAGATTCTCTACTAATCAGGATTAGAATCAAAGTTCTCTGAATGGCCTAGAAGGCCCTAAGTGCTCTGCATGCCATCATGCCTCTGGACTACTATCTACATGGACCCGGTGGAATCAGGCCAACTTGCTGCTCCTCAATCACACCAGCCCTCGTTCTACAATACTTCAGGGCGTTTGCACTTGCTGCTTCTACTACCTCTAATATTCTTCCCTGAAACAGAAGTGGCTGGCTCCTTCATTTCCTTCAGAGCAATACACAAATGTTCCCAGCTCTGAAAAGCTTTCTCCAACAGCCATACTTAAAACAATGCTCTTCCCTCTCTGTGTAGTTCTTAGTTAAAACCACCCGGCCATGTTCACTCCTTAACTCCATCTAGAATATAAACTCCATGAGAGAAAAGACATCTAGGACTCTGGTTTTGTAGCACTCTGCCTAGGACAGCACAATAGCAGGTGAATTGGGGCCAGCTGGTGGTGTAATGGTTAAGGGCACTGGACTCACACAAGGCCAACCACTGTTCGAGTCCTGGACCTGGCGAGTTGCTTTCTTGCTTTCCCTCTCTCTCTCAAACTGTCTCTCTCTGGTCAAATTAAAGTAAATAAATAAGTAAAGTTAAATAAGCTAGTTCTTTAAAGAAAGATAGTTGGTGAATTTAAAAATCTGCCCCAACTGCTTTGATTTCTAACCCAGTCATATACGAAATCATGACTAAGTACCAACAAAATCTGAATGAAGAGTAAAAAGGGATAGATCAAAGCAGTCTTTAGAATGTTTATTCTTACTGGGACCAGAAGATGGAGTAATGGTTATATCACTTGACTCCCACATGACCGACCACAGCTCAAGTCCCAGACCCGGCAGCTTGAAACTCATACCAGGTGTGTGTCCATGAGTGCCCAAAATCCCAAGAGAATGGAGCAGAACTGATTGCAGTGTGACTATCCCCCTGGGGGGCTGATTTCAGGCTTTCTGTTTCTGTCTCTCTGGCGAGCCTATGCATTCTATAGCAAAAATTTCTCTCTCTGAAAAAAAAAAAAAAGCTTATTTTTACTACTTAAAATTCAATATTCCTTACTATGCATGTTATACACTAATAACTCATTTAAAAAGTTACCTTTTTTCATTCTGGGGCTGCTCGATTCAAATTGTTTTTGATCAATTAAATTCTGCTAAATTTAAAAAAAAGTTAAATTTCTTCGAAATGACTGATGACTTTTAAGTTATGTATATCACGCAGAAGACTGTCAGAAGTAGAAGTTCTTAAACAGTTACTGGTGATAGTAACGGTGTCTTAAAATATCTCCAAGTTTGCCAGTAGATATGCCTGTTCTAAAGAGAAAATGAAATCCTTAAAGGCAAGACTGACTTAACACTGTCAAGTAAGTAAAATAATTCATCAAACTCTAAGCTTCAGAGTTGAATTTACATAAGACTGACTTCCTAGCTGCAGCTGTAAAGACAGGTAACTGACATTTAGCAGGTAAAAATTTGTTTGTAAATAATAAAAAAGTTTTAGAAAACTTGTCATTTCATTCGGTCACTTTCAAACACTTATTTGTTTTTCTTTTGGCTAGACACTATTAGCTCTTCCTAAATAAACTCAGAGTTCCTTTGGAAAAGTGGTTAGAGAAAGCAGAAAAAGGAGAAGCAAGCACACGGCAGAGTGAGAACCGCCAACACCTTCCGAAACTGCACTTTCCAGGTTGATTTCAAACGAATCAGGAGGGATGGGTAAAACCCACCTCTCCCAGAGCTGCTGCAACAAACAATCCGGTAGCAAATGCCGGCAACACTCGGAGAGCGATCCAAAGGTAAAGAAGTAGGGCCCCCTTCAGGGATTTTGGAGACCCACCTTACCCACACCCTTCGCCCCAGTACTGTAAAAGGCGGTCCAAGGAATCCGGGAGAGGTCGAAACCCGAGAGTCGCTGAAACCTCTCACTCCAAATTCTCTGCGCTTCTGAGCCTGGAACCGAGATGAAAAGGACGGGACAAAGCGGAGGAGAAGGGTACATCTCCATCTTACCTTAATGGCTTTCTCCATATCGCTCTCCTCCGACATACTCCGCGGGGCCCCCAAGGCCGGGAGTAGCGGAGGTTGCGAAGCTGCCCGGTCCCCCCGCGGCCGAGGGAGCAAAGGGCTCAGAGCTCGGGTCCCTGGGCCTCGGGGAGACCGGCAGCCGGCAGACCCGGGGCACAGGCCGAGCGGGCGGCGGGCTTCGGCGGGCTGAGCTAGGCTGGCAGCGGCAGAGGCGGCGGCCCCTGGGGACAAGCCTTTGTGCTGGGCCCGGCACGGCAGCGTCCCGGCCTCATCCCCGGCCGGGGAGACAGGATCGGGGGGCAGGGCGAGGCG